AGGGAAACCATGTGAACTGCACTAATGGCGAAGAACTGATCAATCTGCAATGGTCTCCATCTTAAAAATAATTTGTTTGGGATGAATAATGAATGCTATTGCATTATTTGTTGACTGGTTTCCTAAGTCATTCATTAGTTGTCAGGCACATATTTAACAAATATCTAATTACAATAACTAGCATTTGGTGAGAATTCACTAGGTGCCTTGCACTGTGCATTGCATTACCTCATTTCATAATGACAGCCATTCTTTAAGGGAGTATTGCTCTAAATTCCTATTTAAAGGTGATAAACAGACCTAGAGAAGCTAAATCAAAGGTTGCTCTAAGCTTCCACACAGGTGGAACCAGAACACAAACCCAGTCCAGCTGATTCCAGAGGTCTTGCTCTTTTTTTTTTTTTTTTAATATTCCATTTATTTGTTTGAGAGAAAGAGAGAGAACACAAGCAGGGGGAGGGGCAGAGGGAGAGAGACAAGCAGACTCCCCACTGAGTGTGGAGCCCAAAGATGAGGATGACCCGGGGCCTGATGTGGGGCCCAATCCCAGGATCCTGAGATCATGACCTGAGCCAAAGTCAGATGCTTAACTGACTGAGCCACCCAGGTGCCCCCAGAGGTCTTACTCTTAACCAGGGCTTAACCACTACCATTCCAGACCTATTTTATCATTCTTAAATGTTAAGAAGAAAATATAATGTTTCCACTTAACAAGAATAGAAAACATCAGCAAGTATACTGGAAGAGACCTAAACTAAAAGGAATCTTCCATCCCAGGCTAGGCTCCCTACTTACTCTATTGCCCTTAGTAGATTCCAGCTTTGGCTTTCTCATCTCTTTTTTCTTTGAAATGAGTGATGTCTAAAGTTCTGTCAACCAAGGAATTCTTAGGGGTAAAAGATTCAATTGATTTCTTTTTCCCTAAGTTGAAAGTTGGCCTTGAGTTAACAATTTAGGCGGGGCATAGGGTGGGAAAGAAAGACCACACTAAGAATCTTAAATATTATTTTAGAAGATAATTTAGTATTTATTTATTTATTTTTAAGGATTTATTTATTTATTTGAGAGAGAGAGAGAGAAAGAGAGTGAGCGCATGCACGAGCAGGGAGAGGGGCAGGGGGAGAGGGAGAGAGAGAATCCCACAGAGACTCCCTGCTGAGTGTGGAGCCTGATGCAGGGCTCAATCCCAGGACCCTGAGATCATGACCTGAGCCAAAATCAAGAGCTGAACACTTAACTAACTGAGCCACCCAGGTGTCCGAGATTATTTAGTATTTGGTATTATTTAGAAGATCATTTCTTTTATTAGTTATATATCTAGTAAGGCCATAACAATTACAGGCACACATGAAGAAGAAATTTGTCTATGAATTATGGTACTATCAAGGACTGTGAAGGCTCTGAGATTATATCTTACTTGCAAATTAACAGTAAGCCTGCCAGTTTTATGCATGCTGGTAAAAGGCATGAGATACAAAGGATTTTATTACTCACATCAACGCCAGTAGCCAGAGTATCAGCACTTTCTTGCACTGGTTCCCAGAGTCTCAATCCCCACAAAGTGACGTGAAAGGAGCCAGATAACATCTGCACATGCACTGGTTTGCATTTCAGGAGAGGGACGCTGAATCTTTTATAATAGGCAGCAAATAAACCTGTTCCTTTGCTCCAGGAGATAGTACCTCTATTTTCCCAAGACCATTCACTACCCAAACATCCTTGAAAGGATAGTCTAGAATGAATATAGTCAGTGCCTCTGCTCACAAGACAGGCAGAAATGTGAGAGACCCATGAAAATTGTCTCACAACACTGACCATTCTGCTTATTAGAAGAACACGTTTGAAGACTGTATCTTGCTTAGATCCATAGACTTTTATAAATGTTATAATGGCAACAAATTATTCCAGGATCTTGGACTATTCCTTTTTAAAAAAGTCAGTTGTGTCACTATGCTTGTTGTATTTTCTACAGATCCTAATGAGTCAGCACAGAGTTTAATAATAAAATTTTCACACAATGTAAAATGCAGTGTGGAAACTGACCTAGAGCATCCCAAAGTTAAAATGTTCTAAATATACAATGCAAGCATTTACACTAAGACTGCTGAATACAATATTCTAGAGCCAAATGATCTCAATAAACAGCTATGAGGCTTTTTAAAAAGGTCTGAATCTTAAAGTCTAGATTGGATGATACTGAGTCCCCATTTCCTCAATATCTCTTGTGAGAGATAAACTGAAAGGAGATTTCTGTCTTAGGACCAGTTTTCTTATAAGAATCCAAAATTTTGAGATACTATTCTTTCCCTCTAATCTATCAATACTGTCCTCACTCATAAAACTGCACTAGTTCCTTCTTCCCAATGGCTCATAGGATTCTGAGTCTCACAGAACCACCTTTTGATAATTAAAAGCTAATATAATGAGATTCAGAGATCTGTGTTCAAAAAATATCTTTTAAGCATTTTTTTTTGTCTGCTGTGATGATGCTAGGTAGCAGGCCCCAAATTACAAAAATTAAACTTAAAAGCAAATCACTCCGTTCCCCATATCCACGAGTTGATAGTTGAACTCCACAAAAACCCTTTTCATTACCTTTCCCCTAGTCCCTTGAATATTACTCTATGTCTTACAGTTCCCCATTTACTCCCACAAGCCAGTTCTACACACCATTCATAAAATGAAACAGTAGCAAAGATTTGCTACTTCAAAATAAGGACATACTGCCTTTTCCCCAAATTTATTTCACCCAGGTATAAACACCCAAACACTGACAAAAAAGGTGTGGAAAATGTGGTGTGATTGAGAACTGCATCTCATATATTGTTTTTTTAAATAATATTTGTGTGGCAGAATACTATATAATCTGTGTTTCTGTGGCTTTGGAAACACAGCGCTAGGAAATGTGAAATACAACTTTGTCTCCTAATTTCAATAAGGCTTGCTCTGGCAAATGGCTAGAAATAAACTCAAAATGTGATTGAAAGCCAATTTTCGCTGTTTTAAAAAATGTTAACAGTCAATCAAATCAGAGGTTGGTTTCAAAAGAAATGTCGTTTTCCTTCTTTGAATGGCATACACACACACACACACACACACAATACATACCCTTAGAGAATACTTAACAAGAGCTAAGCTCTAAAATTAAAGAATCTGTAGAAAATGCAGTGATGCACCTGAAAATTGTTTTCATTCTCTCCTTTGTGTGAAATTCAATTACATAGAAAGCAAACAAATGGAGCAAACAATGAAAATGGCACATGGGATTTTTTTTTCAATTACTATAAACTGCACTCTCTAAAAGAGAAAGACTATTTATGCAGCAATTGCATCTAATGACAGGCATTGTTCTCCTGTCAGGCTATTTCTGGGTTTTGGAGCCTCTTAACACTAAATCCAGTGTTAACTCCTTTTTAACAAGAAACTATTTCTCCCTGTAAATGCAAACTTAATAATATTGCTCTTATCTTGATCCTTCTGTGGGGAAAAAAAAAAAAAACCCACACACACAAAAAAAAACTTTAAAGCTTTGACAATACTATGAAAGACAAAATATGGTATTTACATCTTTCTAGAAATATTTCAGTGAGCCTACTGTGACCATTCTAGGGCAGCAAGAATGAAAAGTAGGGAATTTCATTGCTTTAACTCAGTTCTAATGTATTGCTTTAGAATTTAAAACGAAACAACAACAAAAAAAAAAACCCAAGCTACTCTAATATATAAATGCAGCCCTTATAAAAATACCAAAACATACATTTACCAGATTAATCTTCTAGAAAGTTAAAGTACTAAAATTCTTCTTTGAATTCCCTTAAACAGCAATCTCTTCTTATATTTTGTAGATGACTCAAGAACAATTAAAATTTTGCTTTAAAGACAACAAAAACCTGGGCACCTGGGTGGCTCAGTTGGTTAAGCGACTGCCTTCAGCTCAGGTCATGATCCCAGGGTCCTGGGATCGAGTCCCGCATGGGGCTCCCTGCTCTGCGGGGAGCCTGCTTCTCCCTCTCCCACTCCCCCTGCTTGTGTTCCCTCTCTCGCTGTGTCTCTCTCTGTCAAATAAATAAATAAAATCTTTTAAATAAATAAATAAATAAATAAATAAATAAATAAATAGACAACAAAAACCTAATTTAACACATTTCTTGATCATGTCTAGGAGAATGATACCAAGAGAGATTGTCTTAATTTAAAAATATTTTTATTAATATCAGTATTAATAAATATATATTTCTCTCTATATAACTACATTGTGTGACAGAATATATATTTTTATTAATATTAATATATATTTAATTCTCTCTCTAAATCATCATGTGAAAGGATTTCAATCTTAAATTGAACTGGAGAATATGAAATGAGGAATCTCATGCACATGCCCTCAGAAAAACAGAACTTAAGAACTGAAACACTGATTTCCCATAAATGCCTGATTTACAGAAGATGAGGCTTATCTCCTCACCAATGAACATCCAACAGGAATCTCTCCGATCCTCCAGCCAATGAACTTACTGCTTGGACTCCGGCTGAACATCCCCCTCTTTGTATTCCTTGTTCCTAAGTCTGCCCTAAACCCTCAACAGACTTGCCTGTAGCTTGCTACAGCATCCATTTCCCAAATTACAATTCCTCTACTATTCCCAAATCAGCTCATTTTCTGGTAATTTGAGCTTGTCTCAGTTTACCTCTTTATTTAGGTTGACATGTGTCACATATATGTCACTTTCCAAACCCACATCATCTGGGCTTGAACTGATAAGGCACATAAGATGTAAATGATTTACTACAGATGCCCTGCTCCTCCCACGTAGACTTAATTGCTTTAATGGGGAGCAATCCCTTGAACCAAAAGAAATTTAAATATCAGTGACAAGCTGGTGGTGACATTTCAAGCTCTTCTACCACATTCAAAACAGACTCCACCACCCACCTTCTCTCATGCCTCAAAACAGTAAGACCTACTGGTGAAAGCTTTGGAGTTCTACCTATATACATACCTGAGGTGCTGGGATAACCAGGTGACAGACCTCACCACCTGCCCTTCCTCTTTCTGGAGACAGTGTAGTATGGTGGAAAGAGCATTGGGCTTTGGAATTGGACAAACCTGGAATCTAATCCAGTTGCTAATATGGAGTCTTGGGCTAGCTGCTTTATAGCTCTCTGAGTTTCAGGTGTCCTCATCTGTAAAATGGGGAAAATAAAACCAGTCTTTACGGTGGTGTATGTAGAGCTGCAGACATGACAGTGACAGGCAGGCATGAGGGAACCCTCCTGGTGGGGGAAGTGGGACAGGTTCCAATGTTTGAAGGAGTACAGTATCTGTGAGCTCTCTGAAAACTTTGTCTTAGACCAGTCCTGAACATCACTATCAAGGATGAGAACTGTGTTGTTCATGCATTCATTTATTCATAGCATACATGGTCACAGAGCTTCTTATCTAGGCTAGCAAGGAAGACAGACTCATGCATAACTAACTGTAAGACACAGGTCTATCACATAGGTAAGCTGAAGGAAGGGTTGGAAATGACAGTTGGCAAGGTCCCCAAAAAAAGAAGGACCTTTCAGGTCAAGTCACATATGGTCAGAGAGGATTTAGTAGGACATTACAGGGGAGTTTCAGGGCCACCTATGAGTGGTTCATACCCTCCTCTCTAGGACTATGTAGTGGGGAGCAACTGCATCCCCCTCTGGAGACCTGCAGGGTGGTCTCTCCATCATCACTGTGGCAGGGACTCGTAAGGGGAGAGGTTTAGGAAGTGGATGCATTCAGGCCACAAGGGGTTCCAGGCTTCCTTCTAAACCAGCTAGACCTTCACAAAGTGAATGGCCTTCAACACCACCAACTCTAGAGAGTGGTTTAGTTAGAAAGGAGAACCTGTGAGGGAGTAGAGAAGGTTTCCGCTAATATATCCTTCCAGATGGGATGAGGGAATCAGATTCATTGTATATTTGACAGTACGAATAACCAGTCTGGAAGTTTCAAATATAAATTAGAGTAGATTGATGAATAATAAAGGGATGGCTGCTTCTGTTCAATTCTATACATTCCTGATTACATTGATGATGATGATGATGATGATGATAAAAATAACAACAGCAGCTACCATATCCTTGGTATTTCTTTTTTTTTTTTTTAAGATTTTATTTATTTATTTGAGAGAGCGAGCTAGAGAGAGCACAAGCAGGGGGAGGGGCAAAGGGAGAGAGAAGCAGACTCCCCACTGAGCAGGGAGCCTGAGGCAGGGCTCCATCCCAGGACCCTAGGATCATGACCTGAGCCTAAGGCAGAGCTTAAACTGACTGAGCCATGCAGGCGCCCCTATCCTGGGTATTTCCTATGTATTAGGCAAAAATTTGAGACAGACAATTATTATCCCCACTTACAAATGAGCAAACTGAAAAACTGAGAGATTAAGTAACTAGCTGAAGGCTACACAGATAGTAAGTGGTGGAGCTGGGTTTCAGACCCAAAACTGCTTACAACTCCAGAATCTGCATTCTACCCCATTGCCCTACATGCTTACTCAATCTCTAAATGGCTCTGTGGACATTCCCAAAACAAGAACTTATCAAAGTGCTATTTATTTATTAATCTCCATTATCATAAAAATTCTTACTAACATTAGTATAACAATGATAAATTTCTCTGTCTTAAGAGTTTTAGGTCCTCGGATCTAGTCCCATGTCAGGCTCTCTGCTCAGCGGGAAGCCTGCTTCTCCCTCTCCCTCTGCCTGCCACTCCGCCTGCTTGTGCTCGCTCTCTCTCTGTCAAATAAATAAATAAAATCTTTAAAAAAAAAAAAAAGGAGTTTTAGGTCCCAAGGAGACCTTTGGGGTAAATTCAACCAACTCCTTCAATTCTACAAATAAAGAACTGAGCTATCCCAAGTTCAACTGAGCTACAACTAAAACACCAATGGTTCCCTTAAAAATGTTAGAAAAAATGAACCTCTTGTATATACCTATTGATGATGATGATAATCAGAGTTTGAAATAAAATTGTGATATACTAACAAGATGGTATCAAACAACCTTGGGACTTGACACAAAAGGTTGGAATGTTTTCAAACCTCACTTACTAACTCTGTTGCTTGATAACTTCACAAAAAGCAAGTGGCTTCCTAAACACTGGCTATTTGGCTCTCCCTTAATCATTCCTAAAATAGGGGCGTCTGGGTGGCTCAGTCAGTTAAGCATCTGCCTTCAGTGCAGGCCATAATCCCAGGGTCCTGGGATTGCACCCTGCATCGAGCCCCGCATCTGGCTCCCTGCTCAGGGGGGGAGCCTGCTTCTCCCTCTCCGGCTCCCCCTGCTTGTGCTCTCTCTCTCTCTGTCAAATAAATAAATAAATAATTTTTTAAAGACTTTATTTATTTGACAGAGAGAGAGGGCTCAAGCAGGGCGAGCGGCATGCAGAGTGAGAGGTAGAAGCAGGCACCCCGCTGAGCAGGGACCCCGACATGGGACCCGATCCCAGGACCCCGGGATCATGACCTGAGCCGAAGGCAGAGGCTTAACTGACTGAGTCACCCAGTGCCCCTAAATAAATAAAATCTTAAAAAAAAAATCATTCCTGGGACGCCTGGGTGGCTCAGTCGTTAGGCGTCTGCCTTCGGCTCGGGTCATGATCCCAGGGTCTGGGAATCGAGTCCCGCATCGGGCTCCTTGCTCAGTGAGGAGCCTGCTTCTCCCTCTCCCTCTGCTGCTCCCTCTGCTTGTGCTCTCTCTTTCTGACAAATAAATAAATAAAAATCGTTAAATAAATAAATAAATAAATAAATAAATAAATAAATAAATAAATAAATAAAAATCATTCCTAAAATATCTAAGGTATGTCCTGGCTTAAATGTACCCATAGTGGATTAATTTTTATTTAAAAACCTGGTCATGCAAAACTGAATTTAATTTTTTTCTCAAGCAGAAGTAAAACCTTTCTAAAAGTAACTGAAAATGGGGGCGCCTGGGTGGCTCAGATGGTTAAGCCTCTGCCTTCGGCTCAGGTCATGATCCCAGGGTCCCGGGATCGAGCCCCGCATCAGGCTCCCTGCTCTGCGGGGTGTCTGCTTCTCTCCCTCCTTCCTGCTCGAGCTCTCTCTCACTATCGCTGTCTCTCTCAAATAAATAAAAATTAAAAAAATAATAATAAAAAAATAAAAGTAACTGAAAACGAAAACACTGCCTGAAAAGCAAAAACTAGGCAAAATCAAGTATAGAATAAGGCTAATGTCAATCACTATGAAGTTAGGCCATTGACTAAAAGTAACAGAGACAGAAAATTTGGCTTGTGGTTTTTTTCGTTGATTTATATTTATCCTTCCATCTTCAGTAGGATTATTTTTCCCATAGCCAGCTATTGATCATTTGGAAAATTAATTTTTTATAAAAAGACCATTTATTTCCACTGTAAAATGACAAAATGAAAATGAAATCTTCCTCAAAAGTCTTCAGCCTCATTAATAATAAAAGAAATACAGATTAAAATGAAACACCAGGTTTATGCTATGGAACTAACTAAGATCAAAGATTTTCCCCCAATTCTCAATGTTGGTGAGGGTATTGGAAAACAAGTTTACATGATGTTTTGACAATACTAAGAAATAAACTAAGGCAGTCTTTTTGGAGATCATTTGACAATATCCCTTTAAATATGCATTTTTTTTAAAGGCACATTTATTTGAAACAGCAACTCCACTTCTAGGAAGGTAACCTCACATTGCCTCATATGCAAAGATTTGCCTATAATGACATTGATAACAGGGATAGCAAGGAAGGAAGGAAGGAAGAGGGGAAGGGAGGAAATTAAAGAAATCAAAATGTCCACCTATAAGAACTGGCCAAATAAATAAATATGGTACACTGCATTCATAAAAAGCAGTATTATTTTTCCATTAAAGTGATGTTGTGGATAAATACTATTGAGATGGAAATCATTCACATATGTTACTAAATTTAAAAAAAAAATACAAAACTCTTTGTACTTGTATGTTTCCATTTATACGAAGTTCAAGAACAGGCAAAACCAATCTGTAGCAATAGACATCAGAACAGAGGTTGGCTGGGAGGGTAGAGAACAGCTGAAGAGAGTAGACACTGATTTGAAAAGAGGTAAGGGAACTTTCTAGAGTGATGGAAATGTTCTAATCTTGGAATATGTCTTGAGGGGGAGGAGAGGGACAGAGTAGGTAGACATTTGCCAATTCATCTAAATGTACATTTAACATCTATACACTCCATTCAATGTAAATTATACATCAATTTAAATAAGGAACAAAACCCCTAAATGTATAATATAATTCATCATTAACAAAAATAATGTTTGTATATGTACCTGCAGAAAAGGATTTGGAGATAACTTTATTTTTTTACTTTCTTTTTTTAAAACTTGTCAGTGAGGGGCACCTGGGTGGCTCAGTCGTTAAGCGCCTGCCTTCGGCTCAGGTCATGATCCCAGGGTCCTGGGATCGAGCCCCACATCGGGCTCCCTGCTCTGCAGGAAGTCTGCTTCTCCCTCTCCCACTCCCTCTGCTTCTGTTCCCTCTCTCGTTGTGTCTCTGTCAAATAAATAAATTAAAAATTAAAAAAAAAACTTGTCAATAAGCACTATAATAATTAAAATAAATACAAATATACAAGCATGTCCAAATGTGTCTCAATGAACCTCTCCTGCCCTTAATCTGGATATTGCTTCCCCCTCTCAAAAAGTAGTATATGAATTACCCAAAGCATAATGGAGCCATGCCAGGGTTCAGAGTTCTCTACGTTTCCATGGAGGGATACCACTGGAGTCCCAACCTTTGTGGAGGTCCTTTATAATATGTGTTCACTGATCATTTGCCTCATTTTCTCAGACAACTTCAAATGCCAAAGTTATACCAAGACCTTAGTCATTTTGAGGCATACTCTAAGTATTTTTTTATTTGTAGAACCCAAATTCCTCTCAGGTCCAGAAAATAAAGCTTCAAATTACAGAAGGCAATGCAAATGCTGTGTGGCCTGAGAAATAGCTGTTCCTTTGCACATGTCCTGCCAAGCTTCTAAGAATGGTTTTGCCATTATTTCCAACCCCATAAGCAGCCAAGCCTGAGCCCCACCCCCTCCAGTAGGCCTATTACAGATAAGTCAGTCAGTGTTCATGGGACAGGAAAGCCTTCTGTGCCAGGTGTGCTCACGGCCAAGGCTGGGTGTTTGACACCTCTTGCTGGTAGCAGCTCATGTTCACATGCAGCCCCCAAATCTCCGCATGGGCTGCTGGGTCATTAACCATGCAGGCACAATTACCTACTAACAATAACAGTGCAAACAACCATAGGGAGGTTAGCTGATGGGTGGAAAAGAGAGGATATAGTCACAAAAAGATGAAACAGAATTACATTCCTCTTCCTTAAAACCCCTGCAGGATGGATACAAACTGAGAATTGAAGTAGGTGGGAACAAATGAGAACAGAAACTTTTCCTTGGGATACTGCCAAAAAAGCTTGTAAACTAATGCTAAGAATAGCTCAACAACCCAACAACCTGGCTTGGTTCTAGACCAGGGGTGAAGCCAAATAATACCCAGAGCATCCACATCTCTAGCCCACTGAACAGCTTGCCAAAAATGCCCCACAGGACCAATCAGACTTACCTGGTCTCAAACTGAACATCCTTTCATTGCTCCCACCTTGCTACTCCTTTTGCAAAGCCCCCATCTCAGTGAATCACACTCCAATCTACCCCTTTACCAGAGCAAGAACTTAGAAGACATTTAAGCCTCCTCTTTCATTTTCCACATACAATCAGTTATCAGGCCCTGTAGATTCTACCTTCTAAGTATTTTTCTGACTGGTCTTTCCCTCTAGTTCATGCCAACTGTCACAAAACGTAGTCTCCAATTTACTGCCTGAATAACCTTCCTAAAGTGCAAATCTGATCATGTCATTGACTTATTCTAGTCTTTCCTGACTCTCCATTGCCTACCCAGAGGTTTCTTGAGACAATCTCAGGTGCCTTCACTACTAGATATTTAAATATGTGAAATCATGGGGTTTAATACAGCAAAGGAGGAGGCAGTATGGACCTGGAAAAGACCCGTCCCACTTAAAGGCATTCAAACCTGAAACTATTTTAAAACATCTGTGCCAGCTAGTAAAACCCTTTTTGAGGTCACTTTGACACTCCTGGTCCACACAGTAGAGTCTGAACTCCCTAGCCTGAACCTAAGTCTGTGATATAGCTGATGACTGCTTCTTTGGACTCATCTTCAACTATTCGCAGCAAGTAGCTTTCGTTTTCCTGAAGATTCTTTTTCACACAGCAGTGCCTTTGAACTTGACCGTCCCATAACCTGGGCCCCTCTTCTTTCTCTACCTTGCCTGATACTCTCATTTCAATACCTCTGGTACTGCCAGCCTTCCTGGAGCCCTGGGGAGAGCTGTACTCTGGACATACATCTCTTATAGTTCTTTCTCAGCTTGCAAATATTTATTTTTCTCCCCTACTAGTTAGTACTTAGGGGACTTGTCTTATAATTGCACAAATCATATGTTACAAAAGAAACAGTAAAGGCAAGAGACAACTTTCTTCCCCAACATCGTAAATAAGATTGAGAAAAATATCGTTTGCATCACAGACTACATTTTTTGAAAAAATTTTGGGTGTCCCTGGAGAGCTAATGGAGATTTTAGGGGGCCTCCAAATATGCTATGCTATGCTATGTCCTTATGCAGTCTCTGCTCACTAAACCTTTATTGCATATGACACTGCAACAATCTTATGCCAGAAAAGCTCCTTTAGGTCTTGATCAATTCCACAAAATGTTAATGGGGGTAATATTAATCATTACCATGAATTTTCAGTGTTCAAAAGAAAGAAAGAAAGACACTGTTACATGCTCCAGCGCCTTTTAAAAAGTCACTCTAAGAAATAAAAGGGAACTCAACTCCACTCCCACAACTGGGTCACAAGATCCATTAGCTGAAGTAGTTGAGTGCTCAGTTACATGAAATAGTTTTATTTCTCAGAACTTGTCCAAAGGGATCTCCCCTGCCTGCAGAGGTAAGGAAAAAAAGAATCTTTCCTATACCTTTAAGTTTGACCTGCCCCATTTTTCCCTCTGTCCCTTGATTTAAGCCACTGGGGAGGTATGGAAATAAAATGGGAAGTTCGAAAGGGAAGAGATTGTGAAGGATGAAGGGGAGGGCTGTAGTGGGGGCTTACAACGTATCTATGTCCGTTGTGACCAAGGTTAAATGAAGTCAACCACAAAGCTCCAATAACCTCATTACTTCCTACTTTGCATACTAACAGGCTGACCTCTAGGTTTGACTTAAAATTGAGTGGTCTGGAGTGAACTCATTCATTATATACCAGTTCCTCACAGAATATTACATATATTTTTATCATTATTGTTGGGGTTATAAGTGCTTTTATTCTTATTAACCAATGTGAAAGCAATTTACTTAGTATTGGGCTGAAAAAAAAACCAAATAGACTCCATCCTAATACAAAAATGAACATGCTCATGATAGAAAATTGAAAAAATACAGCTAAGTGTAAAGAAAACAAAAAACACCTATACTCAAAGATCTTTATATAACTGGGACTCTGTTATATTTACTTTTAACACCTAAAAAACTAACTTTGTAACAAGTTCTTGCCTTGTTTTTAGAAAATAGTTAAGCATTGTTTTTTATAGCTACACAGTACTCTTGGAAGTGGATACATCGTAATATATATAACCATTTCTCTATTACTAGGCGTTTAGCTTCTATAAAACATACTTTGGGTTAATAATATGGATTTAAACCTTTTAATAGCTCTCAATACCATCAATGAGTAAATGAAAACTTTCCAAACAAGGTGTAGGCAGCAGCAGGGGAACAGTTTAGGAAGCATTTTAGTCACTGGTTTCCTTTAGCCAAGAAAAACAAGTACAGTATCACTGAATTATAAACAAAAGCAGGAACTACTCTGAAATTTCCTCAAGAATAATGTATTTCATAAAATTCTGTTGAATTGAAGGTGTGATCAGTTCTAGAAAGGCTTTGGAGGAAAGAGGGGAGTGTTGAAAAAGGAGCACAAATACATGAGACGTAGTATAAAAACACGAAGTTGGGAAAAATAAACCAGAAGTTCTTAACAGTACAGCAGACTTTTGCACCCATTAGGGCCTTTGGTGGGGACCAGACACTGATAAGCTTGTCATAAGTCCTTAAATCTTGAAGAAACTCTTTTTTTTTTTTCTAAGATTTATTTATTTATTTGAGAGAGAGACAGAGTGGGCACACACGAAGGGAGGGGTAGAGGGAGAGAATCTCGAGACTCCCCACTGAGCGTGGAGTCCAACATGGGCTCCATCTCACAACCTGGACATCATGACCTGAGCCAAAACCAAGAGTCAGACATTTAACTGACTGAGCCACCTGGGCACCCCTTGGAGGAACACTTTCTTAAACAAAAACTTTAACAGCCATTTGTTAACAGTGATCCCCTACCTACCCTATGTGTCTTTTCACCAAATCATTCATCTTTTCCCATGCCCTTTCGATTTTACCAGAAACAGAGCAGGTAGCCAAAGGTTCTTTCACAGATTCGACATGGCTAGAATCACCACTGTGGAATGCTTTTCAAGTGACGTAGAAATTAGAGTCTTCCTAAAACCCAATGTCCTTGGACCTTTGTGTCAATCTGGGGAAAATAAAATGCTATGTACCATTATACTTTCATTTGATTTTCACTTAAATCAATTTTTTCTTACAAAGCTATCTTAAAATTTTGAAACCACTCTACATGCTTTGCCCAAAGTGTTTCCAATTATTTCTTGTAACAGTTTGTCTTCACAAAACTCTGAGAGATGGGTAGGGCAGGTATTATTAATTCTATTTTGAAGATAGAGGTATTATTAACTTTATTTTGAAGAAAACAGATAAAGAAAGTAAAGACGCTGTCACCAGAACCCAGATGTTTTGTCTTTGGGCCCAGGGTGCCTTCTCCTACAGACTATACGGTCACAGTGGCTTTGGCAGATGGCATTGTTGGAGAATCTATGGAGACATGACTTGTGCTTCTGTGATCAAATATCTCAAAGAAGCTCTGTCCTTGTATTTCCTGAGTATTTCCCTGAAGCATATATAGATGTATTCTGTCTTAAAGCATCGCCAAGTTTCTTCAAATGTGGATTTAAAAAATTTCTTATCTAATTAACCTACATAGAAGAAGGAACCAAATTGTAGCGTTCATTTCTCCAAATAGTTAAAAGGGATAAAGATGAATCTTTACAAACAGTAACATATCTGAAAAACTATGTTGAGATTTAAAAGGCAAATAAAACTAGGAAATGCAAGTGTGTCTCTTAAAAGCAGAAAAATCTATACTATATGTGCTTTAAATTAAATAAGTGAATATTTATCTTAACAT